ACACTTTCAGATTCATGGATTCAATGATTTAATGTTTTAAACTCCTCTAAATGATTCCTTCTTAATTTCAATCCGTTGAAGATTGAAGCTTCCAGCAACCGTAGAGTGTGAGCCAGGGTACAACCTGGACAGGTCACAAATCTGAGACAGGGCTGACATTAACTTTATTCCACTAACTGCATGTCTTTGGACTGTGAGAGGAAGCTGGAGCACCCAGAGAGAATCCAAACAAACAATGTGAACATACAAACTCCACACATGAAGGTGAAGTTGAACTCAGGACTTTGTTGCTGTGAGGTAACGGTGCTAACCTCTGCACCAAAGATCTTCTGACATGGGTCTGAGAAAATATTTTGCACTGCTGAGCAGAAAGAGAAATTCCTGCTTGAACAATGTTCTTTGTGTGATAAAGACTAAATATATATTGATATTCAATTTTCTTTACTGATGTGCTTTGTGTGAAGTGTATTTCTTCTGGTTCGAGTATTTTAAAATCACTGATATAAAAACCACGTTTTTCCTCACCTGGAGCCTTTCAACGAGAGCTTTAGATGAGAAATTCATCATGATGTTTATTTTATTTACACAGCACCAAATCACAACAGTCGCCTCAAGGTGCTTTATATTGTAAGGTCGACCCTACAATAATACATACAGAGAGAAGCCCAACAATCATATGAAGTCCAGATATGTAATAGTCATTAACATAATCAGACCCACGAGTGGTTTTAATCTTAGGAAGTTTATACAACAACTTGTAGCACCAACTTTAGTTAAATGAGACTGCACAACATGAAATGCAGACTACAGAATTTCATTTCACATTAATAATACTGAATGAGAGGAACAGCAGCTAACTAAGTCATCTACATAAACCTGGAACAGTGTTTATTGATAGGCTGCTGACACCGCGCTGGTTGCCTGGGATCAGCTCTTACAAGCTGGGCACCAGCGTCAAAGCTTGAATGCTGGGTGGCAGCGGTGATGGTGTTGACCTGGTGACTGGTGCAATAAGACTGCTGATTAAGAAGACAAACTCCAGAAAATTCATCTCCAGTCAACCAGGGAACACATGATGGTAGGTCAACATAGACGGACACAGACACTGAGGAATAAACAGAACTATTTAAACACCCGAGGGTTAGAGGCATTAGGAGAAACAAGAGTGTAACAAGACGCAGGATCATCAAAAGCAATGAGACAGAAGGTAAAACTAGACAAGCAACTGTCAGGACGTCAGAACCTTTAACTAGGGGAGTTGACACAAGAGGATAAGAACAAATTAAACTCTGAACCAGGTGAACAAAATTACTGCAAATACTTTGTGTTACAAATATTTTTTCAGAGTCACCTATTTTAATGCAGCCCTTCACACTGACAGTGTAATTTTGCAGGATTAACTAATTTATTTGGATTTCGTATTTTTCAAATTTCATGATTTTTGCTGTAGATTAACAGATCAGACCATTCAGACCACTGCAGGACGCAACAATCAATCAACTCTACTTTCTCCTGAGATGAAGCCGAAATGTTCGTTTCTTTCTTTCCGTGTTCAGAAGCATCTGGACCTGCTCATCATCACTCATGTCCACTTCTTACACTTACAGTGCATTTTTGAGGAACACCTTTACTGTGTATATATCACGGTTATTATAGTGAACTAATATAATCTGCATGTGAAAAGCATTTTGGTTAACTAAAACAAAAATAAAAACTAGACCTGAAATTATTTTGTGAATTTGATCAAAACGTTCAAAATGTGCTTTATGAGGCTTTGTGATGTTTGCCATCCAGGCAATAATAATTAATAAAGACTAAAACTAAAGCAGACAATGACAGTTAAAAATAAATATTCTTAAACATTGAAAACTAAACTAATCTAAATCTAAAAACTTACATTGAATTAAAAGCCAAATGTGATGGTCTCTCAGTCGTCTACGGCTGATTTCTGGGTTTGTTTGCTGTCTGTCTCTCGACTTTAGTTTTCTCTCTCTCCTCTGTCTGTGTTCCTTTGTTGTTGTTTGTGTTCCTGAGTGGGCCTCATCTCAGGTTGCTGCCTCTGACCTGACCCACATGTCTCCGATGGTCTCAAATGCAGAATTGAGCTGGCTGTCATTCTTCACTGGACTGTTGAATTAGAGTTAGTGAAGCCCTGGCTCCTCCTGCTCAGTGTTTGTGCTGCTTCTGATGCTTCAACATACTTGCTGTGTGTTTCTTCTGTGTAGACTCCTGGTTTCTTCCCAGGTGTGTGGTAAGACAAGCCCTGAGTTGAGAGAGTGTTGTGTGGACTCCTTTCCTCCCTGGAGTCCCTGGAGCACTATACGCGTCCAATGAACTTTACAAATCATATATTTGAGTCCAACCTGCCTACCAACACAAATACAAAAAGTCTAAATATGTAATGTAAAGGCCTTAAGACTGCATTATAATAAACAACTAAATGTTCCAAAATGCAAAACAGAACTACGAATGTTGAACAACCTTAAAAGTTCAAACACTCACTTCAATTTTATTAATCGCACCAAATCACAACAACAGTCACCTCAAGGTGCTTTATATTGTAAGGTAGACGCTACAATAATCAGACCCAAGATCACTATACAGAATCTGTCCTCTGTGTTGGAAAGGCTGTCAACTGTGTGTGGGAGCCCCCTTGTGGCGAGAGAGCACAGTTGCACTATTGAACACATGTTCCAGGGATCAGAGTTTGAGCAGACTGACTCAGCAGGCGATGTCACACACGGTGTGAGTCGTGCGCGTTGCTAAAGAACTGAGTAGACGTGGAGCCCCGCCTGGGAAGGACAGCTTTAGTCTTTTAGGCATTTAGTGGATGTAGAAGTGCAAAGTGTATCGACCTGTTCAACTATGTGGCTAGTTCATGCTGCTAATGTTGTACACAATAATAATAATAATGTACACTTTGTATTGATCCCCGTGGGGAAATTCTTCTCTGCATTTAACCCATTCACTCAGTGAAGCAGTGGGCAGACACCAGTGCAGCGCCGTGTGGGGACGGTACCTTGCTCAGGGATATCTCAGGGTAGCCGTTCAGGGGATTCGAACCCCTGACCTTACGATCATGGGGCAACCGCTTTGGCTGATTGGGTGTTTTGTGATATAGTATTGTTGGGTGTATTGGCAATTAATGTGATGGACTGTAAGGTTTTCTGAGTTCATGGAGATCTTCATATTGGAATTTCCATTTGTAGTTCTGGTTAGACTGGAAGAAAGCTAATGAATCTTAATTCATGACTTAAATGTTTATTATATTCAGTATTTTGTATATGTTCTGCTCTTGTTAGCTAACAGCTGGATTTGTCTAACTTTTAACTGCACCTCTTCAGTTTCTTTTAACACCAGCAGATGTTTCGCTGTTCATAAAGACTCTAAACAGGTTTCTGTCTGGCTCCACCCACTGATGCTGAACTCAGCCAATGAGATGGTCTCTTCCTGCAGAACTACAGCCAGCCTGATGTTGAGGAGAAGGCTGTGCAGCAGAGAGGCTGCTTAGTCTTTTCATTCTGCTGAACTTTGTTCATCTGCTGTGACTTCAGCACCTGAAACATGTTCCTTTACCTGTTTGTACTTTTCTCTCACTGCATAGGTGAGTGTTAGAACACAGAAAAGTCTCATTGTGACCAGATTTGATCAGAAAATAAAAACCAGAGGAAACAGAGATTCAGGGAGGAGCTGAGCTGCTGAGACAGAGAAACCTCCACATCCAACACACAGAAGATTCAGTCCAACATGTTGTTGTTGGGCTGTTACGAAAATTCTCTGTTAATCATCATGATTCTAACAGGTACATGACAATCTACAAAAAAAACCTTCATCCTAATATTTTAATTATTATTCATGATTTCTTTGTATAATATTTACAGATTTCTGTTTCTTTAGGTGTCAGCTGTCAACAACTCACTGCAAGCAAAACTGAAGAGTCCAGTTTGGAAGGCAGCACAGCTACTCTGTCCTACAGATACTCCAGACAAGCAACTGGAAGTGATCAGTTCTACTGGTATCGACAATATCCTGGAAAACCACCAGAGTTCCTGATCTTTAACTTGGGAACACAAAACACAACAAATTCCAAACTTTCTGTCA